ATGGGGGTCCCACCTCTCCGGGAGTGGGATCAAAACACCCAATAGGGCAGGGGCCACCCTGAGAAGTGTCACCGGTGGGACAGTAGTGACACAGACCCTTCATGGACACACGAGTCCCATCCCAGCTCCTGCGTCCCTGCAGGGCTCTCGGGCACCGAGCCTGGCCCCAGGCAGGGAACTTACAGCCGTTATGGAGGGTTTCTTCCCATCTCCTGCCGGCGGGTGAGTGACATCGGCACCAAGGAAGATCACCGGCTGCTGAAAGACAGCAGAGCTGGTGGGAGAGAAGAGAAAGCAGCAGTCAGCCTTTTGGGGCCATCTCAGGGTGATGCACAGCCCAACGGAGACAAGCAGATCACACAGAGGACATCTCCTGACCTCTGGGCTCTGGCCTGGGCACATCAACAACTCATCACAAGGCGAGACAGGCTGCAACCCCCCATTTCAAAGAGCTACTTTACACAGCTACCCACAGGCCCCCTCTTCGCCAGGTAAAGCAGGCAGGCAGCACCACCACGGACCTGGGAAACAAACCCCAAAAACGTGAGAGGCAGTGGCAGTACGAACCGCTGGTGAGGCACAAGGATGTTGTTGATCCCGCCAAGCTTGACGTTGATCTTGAGGCAGAGGTTGGAAAGGGTCTGCGGGGAGGTTTTCACCACGTTCTTGACCTGGACGCACTGCGTGGCCATTCCCAGGAGGGTGTCCCCAACACGCTTCACCTCGGCTGCGGGCAGAGGAAGCAGGTGAACACAGAGGCAATCAGCCACGCACCACTTCCAGCAGCATCCTCAGAAAGGGGGAGAGAAAGCACCGTGGGAGGAGCAGGGCCAGCCCTGCTAAGCCAGAGCAAAGCCCCTCTCCCCTCCCGACTCGCCCCCGCCCCAGACGCACCGTACACCGGCGTTTTCCCTGGCAGGATGACAATGATGAGCTGAAGCCCTGAATAGGTGTTCTTGAGGTGTCGAAACATGGGCTCCACACTGTCTGCACCCTGGGCGTATTTACAGAAACAGGGCTGGCCTTGGATCGGCATCCCTGCATCTTTGGAGATCTTGCGCAGCTGGTCCGTAAAGTTCCTGTGCCCGGGAGGAGAAGCAGTGAGCCCTGAGCGCTTCCGCACGGCAGCTCTGCCACACACCCTGGCCACCGGGCAAGGTGCAGGGACCCGTGGCTGGAGTGCTGCGGCACAGGACAGAGACAAGCCCATCACATCACCACACCTGTGGTTTTACAGCATCCAGCAAGTGCATGGCACAGCAAACGCAAGACCAACACGTGTTAGAGCTGAACCATCCCCTCTTGGTGCCATCTTACCCAGGTACTGACTCTTCCTGAAGTGATGGAGCTGTGAGCCGTTCTCCGGTAGAAAGGTGGAGAAGCGGGGAGCAGACCTGCTGTCTGGGACAGTTGATTTCCAGATGATTTGCAAAGCTGATGCAAGCCTTCACTTACCAAACTGGACAAAATGCTCAGCCACACTCTGGATTTTTGGATTGCCAAGGATAAATTTGATGGAGGGAGAGCCAGAGGGAGCACGGGGCTCCCAGCTCTGCCCCAAAGGGGTCACAAAAGGAGTGCGGTGTCACTCCCGCCTCCACCCAGTTACTGCAGACATGGGAGACTGAGCTGCTCCAAACCATCCCAAACATTTACTGTGCCAAACACCCAGAAGGGGCACACAAAATGCTCGCCTTGACGCGTCCGTTCTTGGTCAGGAGAAACCTGAGTCCCCAGCAGAATCCAAACCCAAAGTGACCATTTCCCTAAATCAAATAAGCTGTCCCTGCTCTGCATCACTTTGCTACCGAACCAGAGAATCTCTAACCTACCAGCGCTTTTCAGAAAGCCTAAGACTTCTCTGTAATAAAAACCCACGGCGAATTAGGATGCTTCCTACATGAAAGGCATTACTTCAGATAGGGCATTGGAGAAACTTTTAATTAAATATCCCTCACGACCCCATCTCTCCGATATTCAGCTTAGAAGAGTCCAATACAGCTTTAAGGCTGGCAGTATCAGATCACGATACTGCAGCTACCTGATGCAAAGAGCAGATCGAGGAGAGCCTGTCAGCTCACACATGCTGGAGTGCCGATGTGCTCGCTCCAACCTGGCAGGCTTTGCGATGGTTCTGGGACTGTTTGCAGCCAGGATAAACAGTTGGGCACTCTGGATAAACTAACAGAAACAAGACTGAACACCCAGTCTGAACCTGGATCGAATTTGTACCACGAGCAATTCAGATGCAGTATTAGCGATGAAGGACGTGCAGCCCCAGGCTGGGAGCCGCAGGGTGGCCGCGCCACGAGCCACGGCTCCCCCGGCTCACCCCACCCACGCGGGCTGCCCCTTTCCTTACTTCAGCACCTCCTCTCGACACTGCTTCTGCGGGGCAAAGCAGGCAATCGCCCAGACTTTGATCTCAATGCCGTTGTAGAACTGCTTCCCTCGCATGTCCCACACGCCTTGGTTGGGAGTTGCAATGGCCCGGTTCTGCAAGGCAAACAGATGGTCAGAGCGCTGCCGTGTCCTGCCTGGCCCCACACCGGCAGCCCCCGGGGAGCACCCACACGTGCTGTGGTTGTGCTCCCCGTCACAAAGCCGCACGCCCTCGTCAGAGCCAACTCCCTGCACTGCCAGGGTCTGCCGCGGCACTCGGCGATGGGCAATTCACCATCTTGGCTCCTCAACAGTGACGAAAATTCACCCAAGCTGCCTTACCCTGAGCATCCCTCTCCCCTTCAGCTCACTTTTCTGTCACCGAACGACTCTTGGCTACAACTTTTGGAACAGTTTTATTGCAAAAAACCCAAAACCCCAAACCCAAGGCACTCTGATAAAAAATTCCAGCTCTAACCTACAAATGTGAAGGTAGCACAAGTTTTCTTCAGAAACAGTGTTTTCTGGTGTGAAAGCATCCCTCTGCACGACGCAGCTCAACACCCGGGCAGTGCAGCCGTGCTTACCCTGCCTCCATACTGCAGGATGGGCGCCGGCAGGACCCTCCCCGTCACCTCCGTCATGTCGTCTTTCACCTTGATCCCAAACTCCTGAATGTACGGATCCAGGTTGTAGCTGGCATTCTTCATCTGCAGAGGGAAGGAAGGGCCATGGGAGGGGGCAAGACCGACTGCTGCGTCCCACACAGCTTCAGCTGGCCGGGAAGCACGGGCACCTGTTCTCTGCAGAGCTGCAGTCCTCTCCGTAAGGCACGGCGAGCGGTTTAACACAAAGGGCCAAACCCTGTCCTCCAAACTGACCCAAGGGGGACCTGATTTTTGAACGCACTGACCAACGTAACTGAGAGCAGAGCGTGCTCCTGAGATTTAAGGCTCCAACGGGAAGGTTCAGACTGGCAAGAGACTGTTATCAAGAGTCACACAAGGAATATCAAATGTCCCCAGCTGCGAAAGACGCATCCATTTGGGTAACAACAGCACCATTAACCAGCTCCTGCCCAGCCGCTGGCAGAGCCGGGTTTGCCGTTCCCCTGGCTTGCCCCAGGCTGACCTGCAGGCAGAGTTCCTGTGCTGCAGCCCCACAACGCACAGTCCCCACGTACACCCAGGGCCAGGGTCATTTCTCTAATTTGTTTTCCTATTTTTAGTTCCAGCTCCCTTTGGGTCAGGTTCCATCAGCACAAGGACCTGAATTTGCTGCACACGAGTTTCCACGGTCACTTTGAGCCAGGCTCCTCTATGCAAGTGTCCGTCACACACATGCAGGCATCTCTGACCAGGGATTCAGTGAGAACAGGGGGATAAAACCAAGCCATTAACCCCACTAGTGTCTTCTGAGCAGGTCGCAGCTCTCCAGTGCAGAGCAGCTGAGGAGCAGGACCACAACAAGGTTCATCACGGGCACAATGCCATAACCTGTCATCAGAGCCGCAGCCCCGACACTGTTCCTCCTAGGGACTTGTGCCACGTACCAGGCGACTAATTTCCTCCTGCCTGTCTGGGGCAGACCTGGCTGTTGCTTTTATCATGGTTGATGTTTGATTGTCTGTGAGCTTCTTGATGCACCGCTGGCCTGCCACGATGTTGCACACCTGCACGGGACGGGAGAGACAGCAGCCAGGCATTAGGGACAGGTGAGACACGGGGGACCACGGCTGAGCTGCCCCATGGGCACGGCACTCAGGCCATGCAGCCAGCCCCAAACCAGAGGTGCCGAGCCTGCAGCTGCAGGAAAATGGCATTTTTACAGCGTGGTCTCCTCCCTCACTCACTAGAAGTGGCTCTTGACAGGTCAACATTGAGGCAACTAGAGCCCACAACACATTAGCTGCAGAATATTGTCATGCATCTGCCAGCAAAGACCGCTTGCCTTCGCTTTGCACAGTGCCCAAAAGCTGGGGCGCCCAGCGATGCAGAGCCAACACTCACCTCCAAGGGCAGGTACGTGTGCTTCTGCTCCTGGCCAACCTGGAGACAGGGCAGGTGGGGGTATTTCAGCTGCAGGTTGTATTTCTGCTTAAAGTACTGAGCCACTGTGCACTCCACTGTCTGACCGCTCTCCAGCTGCAGGGGAAACCTGGCAGAGGCAGGACACGAAGGATGCACCTACTCAAAACAGACACTTCCAGAGCTCAAGCACTACTTACTCTGGCTGGGAAGAGAGGGAACTGGCAGGCTCCCTCTCTGAGCTACCATAAAAGAAAATAAAAAGCACAACAGTGGTATTTTCAGAAATCGAGTCAGGAATACTCTGACCCCAGTGTGGGACTGAGGTCCCTAAATAAAGCTCTCCCTCACTAATCCAGCTAATCAGGGCAAATGTTTATTGCAGGACATGCCACGCATGCCACCGCCAGGTACATAAATACAGCACAGTGGCACTCAGGAGGACTTCTGTGCTCGGTGCCCTCCCTGGGAGCCAAGCTGAGCTCCAGGGCAAGGTTAACCGGTCTTTCCCAGTATGAGGCAGCGGGTCTGGGGTGGGCAAGCGCAGGGGGCAGGAGGGGTACAGCTCCCTTCAAAACCACAGGAAAAAAACAAACCCAACCCAAACTTCCCAGTGGCAGGGCTGAGGAGTGCCACACCGTCCATAGCCGGAGCGCGTGATACCCAGCCTCACCCAGCACCAGCTGTTCCCGGCTCCATAAAGAGCTCTGTGAAAATGAAGAATTGACCCGATATTCTTTATGGAGCCAAAATTAGACAGGAGAGCGAGCCCGAACACCCTGGCAAGGCATCACGTTCTTCTTGCGCTCACCAAGGCCCAGGGCTGGGACCCAGGGATGCTGGAGCACAGGGGAAGCGGGGTGCACACGGTGACAGGCACATGAACCCCAAGGAGACACACTCGGAGATGGGGTTGTGTGACGAGGGCATGGGAGGTGTCCCCGCTTCGGTGGGGGCTCTGAAGCCTGACAGCGCCAGCCTGAGCGGACACTGCTGGTTTGGTATCGGGAAAGAACCGGGAGGAGAGATTTTCTACCAGCACTTGGGGCTGTGCAGCACGAGCCAAAATTTCTTGTTCCGTTTTTACTTTTTTTTTTTTTTTACTTGTTGGCAAAATTTCCAGAAACATTGCAGAAACTTGGGGGGCAGACAGCCTGAAAAACATCCCCCCGTCCCCTCCAGCTCCACTCAGCGAGCCCCCAGCAGAGAGCACAAGCACAGCCCCTCCTGCCCCAGTGCTGTCCCCACCACCGCCTGCACGGGGAGGTCTGGAGAGCCCCACCTGCTCTCCCCCCAGCCTCTGCCTCCACCCCGGCTCCCCCCCCAGCCTCTGCCTCCAACCCCATTTTGCTCCCCAGGGGGCAATTCCCAGGACAAACCCCACTGATGAGTCCTGGAAACACCCGTGGGCTGCGGTACCCAGCAGCTTGGTGCTGAGGGTACCTCTGCCTCCCCCTCCCCTCCCGTCTGCGGGGGGTTGTGGGGCGCAGGGCAGCCCCCAAGACGGAGGGGTGTCCAGGCCCAGCCTGCTCCCAGGCACATGCAAATAATTTCAAGGCAGGGAATTGCTTTATCCCCTGACAAAGCTTCTGCTTTGGCCATGTCTATTTTAAGAAAGAAGAAAACCAAACTCGGAGGTAAAAACTAGGACAATTCCTGGCATGTCAGCTCCCGCCCGCCGCAGCACGCCGCCTGCCAGGCAAAGCATCCTCTGCACTCCCACCCTCCCCTGCATCCTGCTCGCCTTCACTGCGCATGACACGGAGCTGTGCGCGCTGCTGCGCCCAGAGCCGCTGCAGAGCCCCAAGCACATCTCCTTTTGCCATCACAGGCTAGAGTTTCCCGTCCAGCTCTCCCTAACGACACCAGCAGCTGCTAAAAAGGAGAACAGCTCAGATTTTTCCAAGGGCATCTTCCCACCCGCCTTACGTCTGGTGGCTGGCCGGCCGCCTGGTAACGTTACACACGCGGTATTTCCTCTTCATCTGCCCGCAGTGGGTGACCTCGACTTTCAGACCTGATGCAAGACAGGGAGACACAGCAGAGTCACAGGTAAAGGCAGGAGCGATTCCCCTTTGCCCAATTTCCCCGGGACCCTGCCAACACCTTCCTTAAATAATTAACCGTTTGCAGAGTAGGTATGCTTGCAGAGGCCCTGTGAAGTGCAGGAGGGAGGCAACGGTGCCCAGGAGAC